AGCGGCGCGGCGGGGAGCCCGGCGGCCCCGAGGACGAGAGCTTCCTGGAGGAGGGCAGCCCCACCATGGTGGAGAAGGGCATGGATCCCGCCGCCGTCTTCGAGCTGTGCGAGGATGAGGAGGAGGCCGAAGGCGCGGCCGGTAGCCCCGTCAAGGCGGAGGGGAAGGTTCCCGGGAGGAGGAGGAGGAGGGGGAGGAGGAAGGGAGGAAACGCAACCGGGCATCGTGGATCGACCCGCCGGAGGAGGACTACTCCACACAGCTGACCCAGGCGGAGGTGGAGAGCTGCATGAAGAAGTACGAGGTGAGCAGCCCCGATGGGGGACACACACACAAGGCTGGTGGGGTGCCCTGTTACCCCCTCCCAGCCCCATTGCAACGCACTCTTCCTTCTCTTCTTCCTCCTTAGGACACGTTCCAGGACTACCAGGAGATGTTCATCCAGTTTGGGTACGTGGTGCTGTTCTCCTCTGCCTTCCCCCTGGCCGCCATGTGTGCCCTGGTGAACAACGTCATCGAGATCCGCAGCGACGCCTTCAAGCTGTGCACGGGGCTGCAGAGACCCTTCGGCCAGCGGGTGGAGAGCATCGGGCAGTGGCAGGTGGGCTGGGGGCTGGCAGAGGGGCTGGTAGGGGTCCCAGCTGCCTACGGGCTCGTCCCCAGCCCCGTTGCTCTTGCAGAAGGTGATGGAGGCCATGGGAGTCCTGGCCATCGTGGTCAACTGCTACCTGATCGCCCAGTGTGGGCAGCTCCAGCGCCTCTTCCCCTGGCTCAGCCCCGAGGGAGCCATCATCTCCGTGGTGGTGCTGGAGGTAGGGCACTGGCACCCCCCACCCCATCACCTTCTGCTGTTGTAGGGGCTCCTGGTGGTGTCTTGGCTCATCCAAAGGCTCCTGCAGACCCCCTCCCCCCCCAGAAGCCCCCTGGGGTGTTATTGTAGAGTCTCTCCATCCATCCATCCATCCATCCATCCATCCATCCATCCATCCATCCATCCATCCATCGCCCCATCCCTTGTGGGTGCATTTCAGGAGGGGTCCCACAGGGCTGGGGATGCTCAGCCAGCCCTATGTCCATCCCCCCCACCCCATCTCCCCTCCCCAGCACTTCGCCCTGTTCCTGAAATACATCATCCAAGTGGCCATTCCCGACATCCCCGCCTGGGTGGCCGAGGAGATCGCC